GGCCAGATACTGAAGATGAAACTCAAATACTTTGGCCACCAAATGAGAAGGAAGGACTCCCTGGAGAAGAGCCTAATTCTGGGAACAATTGAGGGCAAAAGGAGAAGGGGACGCCAGAGAATGAGGTGGCTGGATGGGGTCACTGGGGCAGTCGGTGTGAGCTTAGGTGGACTCCGGGGGATGGTGGAGGCCAGGAAGGCCTGGAGGAATGTTGTTCATGGGGTTGCAATGGGTCAGACACGACTTCGTGACTAACAACAACAACCACCTCAGCTCACTTCTGGAATGGTTGGGTTTTTTGCCCTTCTGATCCAGGTGCCTTAGCTCACCACTCTGGTGGCAGCATCTCTCACTGTTCTCCCCATGAAACTCTTGCAACAAGGGAAGTTGCCTTATTCCTGGGTCAGAACATTCGTCCATTTTGCTCAGTATCACCTTTACCAATCTTCTTCAATGTGGTGCCCTCCAAACATGTTGGACTGCAGCTTGAACATTCCCCAGTCAGTGGCCGTGAAGTCTGCAAACTGTCATTCATAACGTCTGGCACTAGGTTGGCGAAGGTTAATTTACAGTGAAAGGCAGTCACTGTCCAAACTCTTCATGGACAGGTGTCTACAAGTTGTGGCTCTCTTGGGTCTACACTTATCTACACTGACAGGTAGTATCTTCCGAGGGTTTCATACCACAGTCTTCTCTGGCTGTCCTTGGAGATTCAAAGGTTGTGCCCTGGACCTTGTGTGTGCAGAACATGTGCTCTCCCCATGAGCTGTGGGCATTTTTGCCACCTCTACTTCCTTCCAAAACCCAGCCAAATTTTTGCATACCTTCAAGATGCCAAAGAGGCATGTTACCAGGACGGATCCCTTGAAATGCCTTGCAAATGTTAACGATTTTATACGATCAGAAGAGAAACCAGAGTATAAACGTTAATGGAGACATCCCAGTTTTGGCAGCTCACTCCAGCTACAAAACTGGGGTTTCACCCAAACAACCAGATGGCACAGAGGAACAAAGAAAGGCACAGCCAGCAAACAATGCAGGGGGTGGTTAATATGCCAACAATTATGTATGGGGATGGCTTGACAATGCGTGGAAACGTAGGCAGCGAACTCCCTTCCCTCCTTCTGCCGTATCATAGCAACGGTGCTGCTGCAAAGGCTATTTTAAGAACAGTAACTTTTAACTGAACGTGATTACAAGGCAGAGTGGGCGAGCTCAGCCTATAAAAACATTGCATTGGGAGCTCTGCAGCATGCGGGCCAGGCTCCCCTCACCCCCATCCCCATATCCCTCGATTGCAGTGAGTATGTCGGCTGGATCTGAGTGCCCTCAGTGAGAGAGAGAAGTTGGGTTTGGTTCCAGAGCTCAGCTCCTCAGAACACTGCGAACCATTCTGGTCTCTATACCTACCTAAAAGGGTGACTGAAAGGATCTTTGACAAAAGGGTCCAGCAGCTCGGGTTGTTTAGTTTGGAAGAATGGTGGGCAAGGGGAAGCATGGCTGAGGAATACACAGTGAGGCACGGTATGGAGTGGGAGACGTCCTTCTCCCTTTCTCAGAATACAAGAAGCGGGGGCATCCCCTGAAGCTCCTTGGTGGGAGATTCAGGACAGGAAGACCTTCTTTGTGGTTAGGTGATGGCTCAGTGATGTAATCCACTTCCGTGAGTTGGAGTGATGGCTCCCAACTTGGACAGCTTTAAAAGGGGATTGCACATGGAGGACCCTGCTATCGATGGTCTCTAGTCCTGGTGGCTGCACACTACCTCCAGTATTGGGGCATTATGTCTAGGCAAACCACTTGTTAAGGAACACGGGTTCCTGGCTGCTTGCTGTGGTACCCCTGCCACTTCCTTGTCCTCTCGGCAATTGAGCTGTGGGTTTTCGTAGAGGCTCCTTTTGTCCTTTGTGTTGTTTTGTATCTGTATGACTCTCCGGCATGGGAGTGGCCATTAGGGGATTCGGAGCAAAGTGCTATTGCTATGCTGATGGCACACAGCTCTGTCTTCCTGTGTCATCTGAATTAGCTGTGGCTGCGTAAGGCCTGGACCAGACTCCCTGATGAGCTGTACAAAAGCCAATAAACTGAAGCTGAATCCAGGCAAGAAGGAGGTCCTGGGGGTGGGTGTGTGATTCTTGAACCCTAGAGATAGGCTCGTTGTCATTCTGCATGGGGGTGCACAGCCTCTGTAAAAACTGGTCTGTAGTCTCTAGCTGTCCCTGTCCCAGGCTCAGGATGCCTCCTATCAGCTTTGCCTGGTATGCCAGCTATGGGAAAGACTGGCCACAGTCATCCTGGCATTCATTACCCTGTAATTAGATTACTACAGTGCCGTTTTGTGCAGCTGCCCATAAGTTTGGTTGGGAAGTTGGTGATGATGCAAAATGTTGCAGCTCAGCTGATGTCAAGAGTTGCTTTCTTTCAGCTTATGACACCTTTGCTACTGGACCAGCTTTAAGTTTTTGTTTCTGGTGTATAAACCATAAAAAAATGGGACCAGGAGATCTGAGGAAGCGTTTTCTCCCTCTTATCAACTTGCTCAGTTGCTGAGGTTATTGAGTAAGGCAATCCTGGTTGTTCTGCCTGGGCCTGAGGTTGGCTTTGTTCCATTCACAGCAGGGCCTTTGTTGCACTGGCCTCCTCTCCGTGGCATTTTCTGCCATCTGTTGTCAGGCAGATGCCAACTTTTCTCCCTGTTTTGCAACGGCTAAATGCCTGTTTTATTAAAAAAAAAAAAACTTCTGTGATTGCTATAATTTGATTTTAAATGTTTTATGCTTCTGTACTTTGATCAACCACCACCAGAATTAATCACAGCTTGGGAATATTTTTTTAGATGTAAAGCAGCTTATAAATTTTGGACTCATAGAAATAAACAATCATCAGATTGTTTACACAAGAATTTGTAATCTTTTGTAATATTCAGGACTCTGTCTTGTACAATTAGTCATTGGGATCAGCACATACAGAAAGGACCCTTTTAAAACAGATCACCATGGGGGTACATGCAGGATAAATGTAATATAGTTATTGAAAAGATATGTGAGTAGCACGTGAAATTTCTGTTGGCTTCTGGTAATATAGTGAGACGTGATGTTCTCAAGACATTTTATATAACCTTGACATGTGTTGAGTGAATACTATGACATTACCAACCCATGAATCTCTGGAATCTCTTTACGATTTGTTATGAAGCAATCCATACATCAAGTCTGACAATCACACCTGAGTTTGTTTGGTTTCTGTCTACGTACAGGACAGCTAATGGCCAATACTTATTTTCTACAATATGTAGAGAGGAAATTAATTCCATCTTTGTCATCTGCTGTGTGTTTTCCTATGCAGAAATGCCTATTCTGTAGCATTCAATGCAGCCTTGATTGTGGTCTGCTGGGAATCTGGGCACGTACCTAAGGAGCTGTCCAAGGTGCTGATTCACCCTCCACCATTAGAAAACTCCTCAATCATCCATGTAATTTCATACATGGCAATCATGTAAATCACATTAACATTAAAATTGTAAAAAGCAAGCTATGTTTTCTATAGGGTTAGCTTAAATTTTCTGGGGTCAATAGACAATGTTACTATTGTAGTTAAGAAAATCTGCATTTACTCAAAAGGGAAGCAATATAGTTTCATCTGTTTGTTTCCTTTTCTGGTCCTTTGCCATCTACACAATTCATTTTTCCTTACGGTCTCATATAGCCAAACTGCAATGAAAAGAGGACTTTACCCCTTTTATGCAGCCAAATTTATTTGGGCTGCTGTAAAGGTGCAAAGGCAATCAAAGCCTTAAGTACTGTCTCTTTGAAATCTGTTCGAAAGATATTTAGCAAGGCCATTCTGATGTCTACGTTATGCTACATTTACAAGTTAGCCTAATTCTCATCAAATGTCATTGTACTGTGGTGTGCCTGTGTGTGTTGCAATGACTTCCAAGGAGATACAATGCAACTCTATGCATTCAGCACGCAAAGCAAATTGAATTCCCCCTACAGAATCCCTGGGAGGCTGGACTAAGTGTCAGGGTCAGAGGTCAGATTTCCCCTGTATAGCCCAGCCTCTCCACCTGCTTCCATCTGTTTCGCCCAATGTCTCTTTCTGCATAGACAAGGGATTTGGTGGCCCTCCAGATGCTGCTATGTTACAACTGCCGACATTCCTGGCCATTGACCATACTGGCTGGAACTGATATGAGTCCAAGTTCAACAGCCTCTGGGAGGCACAGCTCCCCAGTCTTGCTATAGGCTCTGATTCTTGCATGTGATGCAAAGTGGTTTTCACTGTCTATAGATATTCCTCCTGTTCCAACTGGGGATGTATAAGAATGTTTCCATTTCAGTGCTGTGCATTCAGTTCCCACATTCAGACTGAAAGCCCTGCTTTGGTATATGGAGGAAAGTTGTGGAGATTGAGAATATTGTGCAAATTTCTTGCTTGTGCAGAGTGTGCAATGATTGCAAATGGAAATGGGAATTGGGCACAGGGTGAATGGCAAGATGAAGAATCCCTGAAACATCAGCAGTGCTTGTTCATTCGTCTCTGTTCCCAGTCTTTGCCCCTCCACCATGCATAGGCAAGCATTCCTCTCCTTTTGTGAACTCCCCAACCCACATAGTTATAGATCTCTTTCATGATCATGTGTAATATGCTAGGCATGCGATTGCATCCATGGTAGTCCTTCCCAACCGCAGTATTGTGGCAGTCAAGCATCGCGTCATGTACTGCACAATCCGATGCATGTGTGGACAGAAAAGGTCCAGCCTCTTCCAGCATTCCCCAGCCAGCATTTCTTTCCTAAACATGCATAGGATCTGTCCTTATTCATGTATTCCAGACATGTCAATACCCCCCTTCAAGTGATGGTCCCCAGGGGGTGGTTCCCAGTCAAGAATCCACTTGGTGAGGTACCCCTTCGACTCCAAACTATGACCTGGGAAAGTGGGCTTCAGTTAACTCATTCATGGCTTAACTAATGATCCAATGTCGTGGTGTCCTAGATTCTGAAGGCAAAGCATGCCCTGCTGACGGTGCCACCAGAGCAATGCTGAGTGACCCTTCAGTCCCCTCATGCCAGGCAGTTACCTCAGAAGAGATGCGGCAGGAACATATATCAGCCACAACCGATGCCACCTCACTTGGCGAGGAGCTGCATTCGGAAGAGCTGAGAGAAGATTCAGTTATCGGCTATGAAACAATATCAGTTGGCCTTTCCGTTCCATCGCTGTCCGAAGCCACCAAAGGTCTCCGTGCTGGCTCTGCTGAGTTTCCCTTTGTGGCTGCCATGGCAACCCATTCTAAATTTTCTACACCAGATATTCCCTGACATTTTACTGAGCGTTCTGTGTCTTGAGCAAGTCTGCATGTGATGGGCAAGTAAGTGAAGGCAGCGCATTTTCTGGGTGAATATATTCATGAGGCTTGAGCAGGGACACCAGGCCTATTCCTGCCAGTTGGCCAAATTGCATTTCAGAGACGCCTTCAGGTGCCCCATTCCAGGAGTGGGTACGCTGAAAGGAAGGTGAGATGGTGGCCCAAATACCAAAACATTAACTTTTTAATTTATTTATTTCATAGATTTCTATCCTGCCTTTTTCTTACAAAGAACTCAAAGCAGTTTATAGAATACGCCTCCTTCTCTTCGATGTCTTATCCCCACAACAACCCTGTTAGGCAGATCTTAGACAGGCCCTTGGTCAGAATGGTCCTCGGAAAGGCATTTTAGGATACAAAAAGAAAGCATGAAAAGGGGAAACCAAAAAAGTTCAGCAGCGTAAGGGAAGGGGTGCAGGCAGGAAAAGGAGGCATGGCCATCTGAAGAACCCCGGAAGGCCAAACTTGGCCCTTGGGCATTCCAGATTACAGCCATTTTCTCTTTCTAGGGAGACCATTCACTGGACACTAAGGAAAATGCTCGCCATCTCATCTATTTATTTAAATCATGTATATACCGCTGGATTAGCATAATGCTCTCAAAATGGTTTACAGAATATAATTAAAATATACCAAATCCAACAGTGAATACAATTTTAAAAAGATTTGCCTGCAATAAAAACATCTGGGTACAAAGGCATGCAGGCCTATGTAATAACAATAACAACACAGAACAAGAAGTAATAACAACAGTTCCACATGTACCAAACCATTTAAAAGCAATATAAAACTAGAAAGTCAACAATTAAAAGTGGCAGGAAAATAACAAAGTTTTAACCTGGCAATGAAGTGTATATAGTGTCAGTGCCAGGCATATTTTCCTGGGAATCTGATTGCACAAGTGAGGTGCCACAGCTGAGAAGGCCCTTCCCCCCGTAGCCACCCGCCTCACTTCCTTCAGAGGTGGCTCATTGAGAAGGATCGTGTTGAGTCTGTGGTGCAAGATTCCACAGCCAGTAACCTTTACAAAGTATTCTCTAGGACCAGGCAGGGTAGCTGATAGGATAAGGTCCCAGAAGGAATTGCATGGAAGTGGAGAGCAGACAAGCCAGTCCCTCTAGGTGGACAATGGACATATAGCTGCCATGGTCAGTGTGGTAGATCCATAAAAGACTGCTATAACCATGGAAATGGTGGCAGCCACCTCCCAACACACCATGTGGAGATTAAAATTGCCACCTTCCTGCATTCCCAGGGTGGTTTGGTCCGCACCAGCAGCCTGTGCTCTTGAGAAGTCCATGCAATGTCCATGCAATTACATTATTATGTAAACCACCTAGAGGGTCATCCTGACCAATGGGTGAAATAGAAATTAATTACTTAAATAAATCAAGCAGCATTTGGTGATCCACTCACCTTTGGTAGGATCGCAGAAGTGACATTCGTCATGGCAGCACAAAGCTTTCCTTCGCATGTGTGGGATGTGGAGAAAAACATCAAGTTGCTTAGCATGTGGAAACAACTGCCATACAAAAGACGTTATCTTCTTGTTGCAATGTGGGATCTTGACTCTCAGATAAGAATATGAAAGAGGGAATTAAAGGATTGTAACTAACCGCTTAATGGGAAAGTGGCACCCATCAGGATTGTCCACACTCCTTATCTTCTATAACACTGTGTTACCTATATGTTAAATCATTTTCTAGTTCATAGAATGGGGGATGCCTCCAGCTTACAATGAACTAACAGAAATGCTGTTGAACCAATATTAATGCAATAGAACCAAGCACAGGGAGGAAAAAACAACAGCAGTTCAAGCAAAGTCAAGAGGTGAGACAAAAACCTGTAGCTCATTCAAAACCTAGCTGAAATAAAAATACTGTCTCAGCTCCCTGAAAGTTTAAAAGGGCTAGGACAGCAAGGAATGTTTGCAATTTGAGCTTTCTTCCCCTGCTAGCATAATCTGATATGCGCCCTAAATGCAAGTCTGAGCACTGGGATCATTGCAGGCAACTCCAGATGCAAGATGGATGATTCGGCTCCCCAGATGGGATGAGCTCCTACCCAGACAGCAGCTGGGCACAGTTGGATGAGGGTTCTGACTTTCTGAGAGATTTTCTTCCCACCATGCAGGATGTGTGTACCACTGCCACGCCCCCCCCCCTCCACCAGATGTTACATGAAAAATGGCCCCTGGTCCATGGAAATCATGGCGAAGAAAGAAATTAAATGAGAACGTAATTTAACTTCTCGGCACAATCACTTGCTTAGAAAGGACTTGCGTTTGAGAGGGAGGAGAACAAGTCGAGGAAGCTGAACTTGTTGTTTCGATTTTTATAAAAAAGCTTATTGAACAGATTCCCAGGCATACCTTTAAATCCTTCAGCAATTGAGGGTCCAAGCTGCCTAAGCTTGCCACCTGCTGCTAGTAAAAGGAGAAAGCACGGGGCATCATGGTGAGTTATACACTTTCTATGATAAAGGACTCTTGATATAAACAGGCTCAAGATAACTGGCATATGGAATATCAGGAAAGAGAGTTCAATGCTTGATTGATCTGTTGTACTGCTGCAATCAGCATTGTTTCTCCACAGTCATCTGCCTCTTCTTTTGCTTTGTTTTTTCTTTGCAACTACATACCTATATCCTGGATTAGTCACTGGCCATTGCTGGTTTGTTTCTTTGGCTCCTTCCACCCCACTTTGCATTAACTGTACCTTTGACATGCATATTTAATACGTTTTTTAAATGAAGGGAGCCTCTTGGGGAAAAGGGGGTCCATAACCTCAGTGGCACAAGGAAAGGGCCCTGTGTTTCATCTCAACCAAGTGCACCTTTAAGGTGCAAGATGCATGGCCAGGCCTTTAATGCAGCCCTTGACATGAAGGATTGCAATCCAATAAATTGTGCAAAATTGTAAGCCACTCAGAGAAGGTTGCTCTCAGTTGTATCAGTGGGTTAGAGTAGCAACTGGTGCACAATCTGGGAAGTTCAGCTTATCTTTCATATCAGCTCATCTTGATTGTTCAAATGGCAAGACAAAAAAAGGAGACTTTAATGGGAGTGTATGATTATTTATTTTCAGCATGTGCTTCCTGCTCCACTTCTAAACAGATTCTGGAGTGGAGAACACCAGAAAGATGAACTGGATAAATAGTACTTTAAAAAAGTTTTGTTCAATATTTGATGCTGAAGCTGTTTTACCTTCACGTGAATGCAACCTGAAAATGTTGAGCAGCTGATATCAGAGTATAATTCCTATGGTTTAGGTTTCATCTCCTACAAATTCAGCCAAGAGCCAGTGACCCAGTGCATGTGACCACAGGGTGGCTAATAAGAAGCCATGGATTCTGGGGTAGCTTATTAATAGCAGCAACAGGACGCCTTTGTGGGTTCCTGTGGCAAAACAATTCATGCTACCAAGGGTCTGGGGAAACATGCAGGAGGTAACCCATGGAGGCCGATAGCTTCCATATATCCACTCCAGAACATAGGCTGATTTTTAAAAGGAGCAATCTGTAGTTCCAAGCCTATTCTAGGTTGAGGCTCAGTACCATGGACAGCTCATTGGAAGTTCATACTGCAACTTGCCTGCTGCAGTTGGGTCATGGCACTGCCCAGCCTCTCTTGCTGGCCTGGTGGTCCTGTCTCTGGGCAGCCAGGGAGGTGGGAGAGTGCTGTGTGTGAGTAATGAACGACAGGAATTATGGTCAAGGGCGAGGACAAGAGATTCATACTGGGGCATGGAATCAAAAGGACATAAAGGGCTTTGCAGGATATGTCAAGGTGTGTGTGATGGATACTAGTCCAGTCTGGAAGGCAGTGCAGGGCATTAAGGATCTGAATGACCAGAGAATGTCTTTGGCAACAGACTTCCAGAGAAAGGTGAGATCCAAACCTTGTGGTAACACCCAATATTGTCCCAATCTGGGAACTGAGTAATATTTCTCCTGTAGGAAGGACAAGGAATGGATTGTTTGACTTGTTTATCTCCAATAGGTAGTTATAAAGCATTTCTGCAGGGAGTCATGTATTTTGTCTCACAGACCAGTGGCTTATTCCCTTGAGAAATAATGCATGCGTTTCACGCAGCATGTCGCTCCAAAAGTAGACCCATTATGACTGAGCATCAAATATTTATGTAGGCATGGTTTATTGCACCATAGGCATATTGTAATGAAAACCTGGGATATGTATTTTGCTTTCTTGGGGGACAGATAATGGAGAACTTTTCTGATAGATTTGTAAGAATACCTATTGGAAAAAGGTTTTGAAAAGCAGTAGGTGGCAAATACCTCTTACAGTATATCAGAAATATTTTTTTTCCTTTAAAGAAAATGTATTTACAGTAGGTTTCTCCCTCCTTTTTCTGCCCTCTGTGATTTGGGCCGGGAGACAGATGGGCAACCTCAACACTATTCCCTTTGATTTAATTTACTATGCACCGTTCCACATATTTAAACCGGTTCAGTGCAAGTTAGTCACGACTGAAAACAAGGGACCTCATTAGCCACGACTCCACGCCATTCTATTTCTTTCACTAAGACCAGAGGCTAAATTCCTAAGACTAAGGCTATGACTTATCAGGGAGTAACCCCCAGTGAACTCAATACCTCAATTACTTCTGAGTAGGCATGTACAGAATGTATCTATCAATGTCTGAGTTGCTTTTAGATCCAAACAGGACCCCAGGGAGAGTTAAGATTAAAAAATACATATGTCTTGTGCTCCTAGTCATGACAAGCTTCATTGTGTCCTTTAGGCATTAGAGTTATTATCAGAATTCTAATCCTTGTAATGTTTATGGAAGCTTATAATCATCATCCTGTTCATTCCAGTAATAACATGCGAGGTGGGCCATTGTTCCAGTTCATTACCATAGAATGTGGGGGTAAGGATGGGGGAGAAACACACTCTATCTCTGATGGAAGGACAAGTGAGTTGAACAGAAAAAGTAATGAAAATATAGAACGGCTTTCCCCAAACTGGTGTGCCATGAATTTTTGGGCCATAATTCTTCTCCTCTCTAAGAGTTGCCTTTTTACTCAAGCTGATGGAAACTGTTGTCAAAACTTACTGGGGGTGCCATGTTAGGAAACACTGACATGATCCATGGCAAGAGTAACTGGGTCTAAGGAGCCCCCAGAAACTTTAGATATATACCCTGTTTTTAAGGTCGTTTATCTGATGAACATTTCTGTGTTTTCAACAGGGAAATTGTAAGTCACAGGGACTGAACACTGCAGTGTGTTGTTAGCATGGCCTCCTGTAGCTTCAGCCATGGGTTGCTCTTGTCCAAGGCAGCTATCGCAGCCACTCAATGGAGTGGCTTCAGCATCCCCATGTCCTGATTGATTCACTTTATTTACATATTTTCTAGGCTGCCTTTCCGGAACAAGTCCAGCCGTAAGGATCGGGGAGCTAGCACAGGATTTGCGCTCTAATTTTCCCGAAGCAGGCAGATTCTGAGTATATCGCACAACCTGAATTCCTGTCTCTGGCCGTGTGCCTACTAGCGTAGGTGAGCAGGGAACCAGAAGGTGATCTGCTACAAGGCTTGGGATCTGAGGCCTGTGGCCCTGGATTTGAATATGTTCTGCCCCCTTGCCCTCAAAGGGCACTGTAGGAAAGTCAGATCCTTATTAGCAGAAAGATCAAACTTCACTGCACCATCTTTTGCTTACCATTGAAATTTGCTGCCATTTAAATATGCATTTAACAGTTTTGACATACCCTATATATAGATTTCTTTAAAGGTCAAAGTCTCAGCACTCATGTGGGATGTACAAGGATTCTCTTTTTCTCTCTCCACCCCCATTTCTAACTTGCTAAGGGCCGGAAAAGTTTAGAGAGAAAGGGGGGGGGGGGAAGGAACAAATACCCAAATAGTGTGAAGTAGCTGGAGGTGTAATATATGGAGGGAAGGGGATGGGGAAGGGAACGGGGGGAGAGAGGAGGAGAGCGTTTTAAAAATACCTTGAGTCATAAAGCATCCAGAAAGGTAACTGGGATGTCTTTTAAAAATCCAATAAACTTCTAAGGAAATCCCTTCCAGGGAGTGATGTGGCCGAAAGCCATGTAGCAATATGAATATGCATTGAAATGTATACCTGGGGATTGGGTGGTTTGACTACAGCATTATGGAACAGGACCACGGACTGTGCTTCCATTTGCAGACCAGAGCAATGAAGGAACAAGCCCACGGCTCTCCCCTGCACTCTCGGCTCTCCAGAAAGGAGCTAAAGAACCACAGCTGCCTGCTTTTCAGTGTATTTGTGTGAGTTCAAAGCAGCTGACCAAAGCAGTGCTAAAGTCACCATAATAACATCTGTGAAACAGCAAAAAAGCAGCAACACTATACTCTGCAGAACAACTCAATGCTAGAAGCCTGCCTGAATAAAAACACCTTAGCTACTGGTGGGGCCTGACAGAGCTCTGTGGTCTCACCACTAAAAAGGCCCTGCCTCCTATAGCTGCCAACCAGACTTCCATTGAGAACAAGGCAAAGAGCATACCCCCAAAGCCAAGTTCTTGTGCTAGGCCAGCTCATGGGGCTAAAGGCAGGCCTAAAGGGAATCTGATCCTGAGCCATTAAAGGCTGTCAAAGGCAATGCCAGATTAATCTTTCTTAAATAGAGCTGATCTGAGGGAAATGCAAAGAGCAAACCTTATTATTCCTCCCCAGTACAGCACACCAAGGGCCCAGACAGACAGCACAACCCACAATGGTCACCCATGACCCTGGGAACCCTCCCAACATGAGGGTTTCACGCTCCGTTCTCAGGGACCATCGACGTCTCGAATGAAATAAATGAATAAAAATGTCCTGCTGGTGGTGGAAGTGGCGTGACCTATTTGAGCTCTTTTCATGCTACATTATCATGAGGAAGGCTGGAACCCTGGACAGGAATATTTCTATTGGGCTTAGGAGGTGAGAAGACGCTGCACCATTGCCAGGATGCTGCTGTTACTAATCAACCCCCCGTCAACTGTACGAGCTTCAAGGAGGAGGCATGTGGAGAATTCTGGCCATCTCCTTGCCCTCAAGCCCTCCTCCTCCAGCCACCCTGGAGACATGTGCCTCAGGTTCAGCTCTCTGTGGAGCTCGGGACCTCTCTCTGCTCAGGCCATTCTGAATTCTCTTTTCAGACCATGTTGTGGCAGCTTTAGTCCCCACACATTTAGCAGGAAGTGGGCTGTGATGCTGAGCCCATTTGTAAGCCGCCCTGAGCCATTCGTCAGAAAGGATGGGATATAAATGTTTGTTTAAATTAAATTAAATTAAATTAAATTAAAATTACTATCATTGGCCGTGCTACAAATGCCTGCTGAAGCTTCCACGAATTACGAGGGGTACTTGGAATGAAAAAGCCAACTCGTGCAGCCCTGGCTGAGGGGATGTTGGCCTTCATCTAGAGCAGGGGTGGTGAACCTCCGGCCTGCAGCCTTCTTGGTCCCCAGAGATCCATGCCCCTTTTCCTGCCTACTTACAGCTCAGTGGTTGCCTGGCTTTATAGTTTTTTCTTTTTTCCAGTTCCAAAGCACAATGAAATGCCTCTCCTTGCAGTCAGAGCTTTATACTAAATTAAGGTGGTCTTTTCATCTCACCCCTTTCACTTTTGCCTCTGTGCTTTTACCACCGCTGAAATACTCCCTAGAACTTCTCCAAACCAAATCTGAACCTTGGCCCAAAAGAGCTTCAGATCTCCTGATCTAGGGACGGTAAGGACAGACCTAGGAGCTCCGTATGGCTGCACTGTGCCACGTTCTAGGAGACATTCCAGCTCAGTGCACCAAAGTGAATCTTCCTGGCTGCCTTTATCTTTGGAAGGAAGAGAGCTGAGAGCACTGTGGCCTTGTGCATATCTTGTAGGGGTGTGATTGCATAGGGATACCTTTTGAACTTTGCAACACAGTTTGCAGTTGCTTCATCAGTTAGCCTGACTGCTTGTCACTCCGGCCATTTGCTCTCGGGCGTGCTTTTGGTGGGTTCTTTGCTGTGTATGCACCCCAACAAATGCCTGTACGACTTCCTCTCTCTCACACACTTTCACTATTTCTTGCTTGCCCTTCCCCTTGCACTGCCTTTATCTCTATTTCACATTCTACCAATTCAGCCATATGTGGTCCTGTCTCCCCAGCCAAGAAGACGCCAACATCTGCAGATGAAAGGGAAAATGCCACCCTGCCGGCCTCTGAAGAGAATCCACAAGCCTTACTTCTTTCTGGATCCACAGAATCACCCCAGAAAGAAATGGACAGGAACCCCATACAGCTCTCCAGCCATCCTCCATTGCTTCCAGTCCCACCACCCAAGACTGTACCCAAAGTCTCAAAGATTGTGCCAGGTGAGTCTCCTAAAACGGTAATACAATTAGAATTTGCCTGCTCAGCTCATTGTTATTGGCATTAGGGGGTAAGAAAGGCTATGCTGCTAAGCAGGGATTGTTCATGTAAAAAGGCCTAGATTCTGCCCCGCTGCCTCTTCTTCAGACTTGGAGGAATAGGGCAAATTCTGATGTAGTGTGGGAACCTACCTAAAATAGAGTTTGGTAGGAAATGTACAATGCTACATAATATTTATTATTTCCTCCTGGATACCTATCGGGGTCAAATGAGGCAAGAGGTACAAGAATAAATGCTCCTCGTCCCAACTCTGAATGTAACTTTCCCACATTCAAAAGGAAAAACTAAATTTCAAATCTGGGGGTTCGTGACACATATATGTTAATAGCAAACTGAGGATGAAGGGATAGGATGACCATTTGGGCATCACACCCAAAACAAAGTAAAGCAAAACAAAAGAATCAAAAAGAATGTGGAAATATATGCATCTCACCAAACTGGGAAAGACTGTGACTTGACTCCTTGTATGTCCGCTCCGTTTCCCATCCAGCTGCTAGCAGTTGATGGACAACTCCAGGGCTTCTGCTTCCATGAACCTTCCCTTTCAGTAACCCTGACCCTCACCCATCTGGAGAAGGGCCAGCATTCTAGATCTATGCAGACCCTCTAATTGGGTAGCCCCTCTCTCCCAGTACTTCATCATGGGATCAGGGACCAGTCCAGGCTCATCTTGCGCTTCCCCCATGCCTCTTCCCTACACTTCCAAACCCTGCCAGCTCCCATGCTCTGCCTGAACACCTGGAGGAAGCAGCGTTGAGATAATTTCACCCTCCGCCATCATCCCTATCTGGGCTCCATCATTTTCGAGCCCTTTCGGTTCTCATCGGTGCCACCCTGACCCTGAAAAGCATGTCAAGAATAACTGCCTCCTTCACTCCCAGTGTCTACAAGACTGGCTGTGCTGATTTCCACAAATGACCTAGAATGTTAAATAAGCAAAATACCAGGTCCTTGGTAACAGTCAATAGGAGGATACAAAGCAGTGCGAGCCAGCCAAAGCTGTGCATTTGTTCCACAAGCAGGAGGAGAGAAGAATAAAGGAAAGTGAGACAAAGGGAACCACTCAATATTCAGAATGTTTAAAGGAAGCAATGCATCTTCCCAGCCCCAGACCAGCTCACCTGGGTTGCAATCCAATCCACAACATGCCTTGTGGCTCCTTGAGCATCGCCAAATTAAAAGTCACACATTCAGTGCTAAACGGTGCTAAAGCAATTGCCAAACTCAGCAGATCTGTTCTCTTGGCGGAGCCTCCCCTGTAACTGTTCATTTTTTAAATGGAAAATGTGCTTTAGTTGTGAGATTACCTGCCAAGGCCTGCGGGCAGAGTCTCACGGCGTAAGTCACGCTGCCACGAAGGGCCACTTTTCCGAGTTTTGTGGCTTGCAGCTTGTTTGAGAGCCTCCAGAAATTCCTCAGGGAAGACCTGTAAGAGCAGACAAGTTTCTCTGCTTGCTGGAAGGGGTGGGTTTAATGTGCACAAAGCGTAATGCGCATACACCACAGAATGAGGGGTAGCGTAAAACACAAGTGTCGCATACAGTCTGTCCTAGTTAAGGAGTGCTAGAAAAGGGGAAATGCCACTCCAAAAACAGGACCAACGCACGCAATGATTTGCGTCGCATCAAATACGTTAATTTATATGAATTGTTGCAGATGTAAAAATAGTTATTATACTTTAAAGAGAAATACAGCAAATCTCCCTGCATGGCAAATGATGGCGAGCAGGTCAGCTCTGTGCATCCTGGTTCAGTTTGGTGTCCAGGAGTTCATTGCTGATGGGATGGTATTGGCATCTAAGATGCCTGGAAAGGTATTTCCACGTGAGCCCCACAGCTTTCTGGTGGTGGGACGCACATCCGTGGCCGTGACCTCACATGGCAAATGATTTAGTAGAGCCTCAACATGGGGCTTCTAACTGGCCAATCTGGAGATGCCTCTGGCAGCTTCCTAAACTGAGAAATGAATAAGTCTTTTTATCATGCATCTGACTGGGAAGAAATGGGAAGCTGGAAAGAATAGAGACTTCTGCACTTCATTAACATGTGCCAGGAATGGAGAAGGGAAGAAGCTAAGGGCCTGGGCAAAGTATGTGTGTCTTGGCTTATGAAGCTGAGATCTGATTGCCCAGATGTGGCTAGCATGCAAATAGGCCCTAACACAGTAGCCCTATTCAGGCATTCAAGAAGGGCTTCAGCTCGGCATTCTGCCTCACATAAAAGTCTTTGCGGATACAGGAAGCTCTTCTCTTCAGGCTGTTGCTCTCCACAAATCGAGGGTGAACAACTGCTGTGTCAGAGAGGGGCCGCTCCTTCCTGCATGTTGATTTTTAACCCCTTCTGAATACAGCCGGTTTCTCTCCTGAAAATCGGGATGTTGGAGAAATCCACAACGGACTCCAATGAATTCAACTTTCTAACAAGCAGATGGATAGATTCCTTAGTGGACCAGCTTTTCCTCAGCTGCATGGATTCTGTGGACCTGCACACATGCTTTCTTACTTTCCATAATTGTTTTGCAAAATTACTTGTAGAAAAATAGGGACAATTGAAAACACTGTCCAAAATTGTATATTTTCCCTATTAGCTAAAGCAGGACAATACCTGCACTTTCCAAACTGGAATCGATTCTAATAAATTTCCTCTTCCAGGCAATGCTATGGTTGGGTTTCAAGTTGGGTCGGTTGGTTGGTTTTTGCCTTTGGTCCCTCTCTCTTTGCCTCAGTCCCACCACCACTGGATGTTTTCTGAAACTAAGCGTGGTCCTCCAGCTGAGAGAGGCTCCCTACCCTGAAATAGAGGGCGACTGCTTGTTCAGGCAATCAATGGCTTGTTGAGAAAGCTGAGCTCCACTGGAGAACCGGCCACGGGGCAATTCCATTGAGAAATACCTCTTGGTGAACTGCCATTCTCAAGGTAGCAGAGTAGCTCCCCAGGCATGGATTTAGTAGGAGCCACTCCTTTTCTCAACAATTAATTCCCCTTCATGGTTTTCTTTCCAGAAGCAGGAAATGAAGTAGATGTGGAAGCCTTGAAATATCCTCCATCCACTGTTCTGAAGAATTATGTAACTGTTGATTCTTCCCCACTCTCAGGGCAAGCTGCTCCCTTCCAGCCCTCAGGACAGAAGGTCTCTGAACCCCACCTCAGAGGGCAGCATCCAACGCCAACCGGCTCTCCTCACCTTGCTGCCGTCCACCTGCCTTTACCTCCCAGCCGGGTCATTGAGGAACTTCACAGAGCTCTGGCCACCAAACACCGGCAGGATAGGTAAGGACTAGACCTGTTGCAGGGCATTGTGGGCCCTGTGGAGCTACCAACTGACAGTGCGTCAACGGTGGTGACTTGTATATTCCTCAGTGCTTTATCAAAGCCCAACTCAGACGAACAATGAAACTGTTGGAAGTGGGAGAAGGTAAAACTGGCAGCTTAGGTCATCCAGGGCTTTGAGTGCATGGTTGTGGTGCTGAATTAGGGTTGTCACCTTTCTTTCTGATGGGGCAGGCAGGCAGAGTGTGAACTTCTCCATGCTGGGAATAGCTGTACCTGTTGAATCTGGCTGGGACAAACAGGTGATAGCTTCATTTGGGTCGTTTCTTTCATTAAGTCTTCTGAAAAATTGCACATTTCTTTATGAACTGGATGGAAAGAATTTGAGTTTTTTTAAAAATGCACATAGGAAGAGAGCAAAACTGACAGATTCTTCCGGCCCTAATTCAGAGGCTAACCAAATGAGAAAACTTGTTACTGGGTGGTTTAATAAATATAATAAAGATGATAAAAATACAAGTGACAATTTAAGGTTGCGATTTTAACATCCTGTTGAACTATAACAAAGGTGCAATTCAGTTTTTTAACAGGCAGAAATTTGATTCCTGTAGGGCAGGAGCATCTGTAGGTTCCCCATAGATTTAATAGGAAGAATCCCATGAATTCTCCACAAGGACACCTGTCTGTAAGCACAGAAACTGGAATCATGCAATTTCTTCCACTCAGTCAAGGAAAGGAGAACATAGGGGAATTTGGCTGATTATCCATACAGAAGTCTGTGTACATTGTACCTGTCACACAGGGCTGCCTCAGGGAATCTGCAACAGATGCAAATCAGTTTGGATTTCTCCGAATCTGAGCTTTGGATTTCACAGCAGGCTGCCTTTTTCCACACCATGTAGACCCATGGACTTGCATGCTTTTTACCCTTTGGAGGGATTTCTGCGAATTCACACATTTCACTGATCTGCATCAGCCCTAGTGATTCCTTGCTCTGATGTGCATTGATGTGGATAAGGATGTGTGAATCCGATGTGAAGGTTGAAACTTTGATGGATTGTCTGAGCTCAGCTCTGCAGATTCCACTCTCTCAACATGCACTGGCACCAATTTGATCTGACACAAGTCTGGCCAGCATATGGACTTCCATTTTCTTAATAGGCTACAATATGTATAATTGCACGTAAAAGAAATATGTAAAAAGCAGGAAAAGTGTGTGCAAAATTCAGTCCTCTGCTCTTCAATTTGTGTAACTTGTGTAAGTTTGTGCAAATTCTGTATATTTATGTTTGTGTATGTAATATTTGCATAAATTATGGTGCAGAGACTTGAATTTTACACAAAACCAAAACTGAGAAAGTCCAGCATGGCCAAGTTGGAATGTGTGCAGATGCAGGTTGGTTGGTTTCATACTTTTCACATTAAATGCTACAAAAAGAACAGCAACAATGATTTGACACCAGTGAATCCACACTGATTTGTGCAAATTGCAATTCATGCAACTTTCACTCAAGATAAGCAGTTCTAGGCTGCAATATGGACAGGTTTTCCAAGCAATTTTGCAGAAGCTGAGAAAGAAACTTTTAGGAAAAAGAAACTGCTTTTGGATTTCAGGTTGGAAATGTGTCAAAATCTGTTGAGCTCAAACAGAATAGGTTTTCCTTTGTCACATATCCACAAATGCTAAAGCGCACTGGCACTAATCTGCATCAGCACAAGGGTGCATTTGAGCAAACGGAACAAAATTCTCATATATTCCAAAAAATTAAAAAATCCAGTACTGAGCAGACAATGGGGCAAAAGATGTGTGGCTTTCCATGAAACACTGAACGAATTTAACAAACCTCCCTATTGGGAAACGCTACAAGAGCTTTAAGATGGGGTGGGACAGGCACAGGAAATGGATCCACATCAGTTTAATATCCAAACCAGCAGAATCTTGGCCATGGGAAATAGATCCATGTTGTGCTTCCTAATCTTTGTAGACTGTTGAACTGCCAGGAGAATGATGCTTCACTTGAATGGTCTTTTCCAGTAGAGGCGCGCACCGTGTCCTTTGAAAAGGTCACCCCAGCATTTCACATTAACATATCTGAAAACAAGGCATCAGTCACTGCTCACTTGCACCTTCATCCGACAGCAGCTATTGACGCCTTTGCTTTCCCATCTTAAGCGCTATAATCCCACAGTGATCCCCACAAAGTCCTGTGCCAAGCAATGGACCAGAGAAAACATGCTTGTGCTGTGGTTTCCCTTCCTCGGGCACAGAATTACTGACCCTGGGTCTCAAGCCCCATGTTCTTTGCATTTCATTCCCAGCTTTCATGGAAGAGAAAACAAAGGGTCTCCCAAAAAGCGGATGGATGCCCGCCCATCCAGAACATCCAGTGTGGACCACAGCAAAGAGAAGGATACTTCAGTGAGCTACAGCAGTGACCAGGAGAACAAGCGGAACTCTGTCAAGGAGTCCGACGAGAACAAAGAGAACTTGATCATGAACTCTGAAATCAAAGATGACTCTGTTTTCTATCAGGATGAAGAGGTTTTGAACGACTCCATAATTTCCGGTAAGAAAAGCCATTTTGTGAACCTTCTCCTAATACCTTATTCTAATGGTCTGATCCACTGGACTGGTTAGTCCATCCATATGGGTTATTTGATTCTGAAAGGTCGTGGTGTGATGTTGCCCTTTTTTCTTCCAGTTCTGGTCCCCTCCTGCTCACCCCTGTCCTCTCACCTTGAAGTTCATGCTGCTGGATGCATTCCCTCTTACCTCTTAACACTGATGTTCTGCACTGACTTCTGGCTCTCTCTTGGCCTTCTTTTCAGACCCTGATGTCTGAAGTTTCATCATCTTTTTGCCCCGGACAGTATCTGCCCTTTGCTCCTTGGTGATTTCATAATCCTGACTGGGAGCCGCTCGGTGGCGAAACATGCCGCCTCACTTCACCCATGACTGCCCATTTGCCCAGTGGTGGATCCAGTGCGCTCTTTAAAACACCCCCATGCGGCACCAACTCTCTCTCCTGATGTGCAGCTGCCACCACATGGAGGCTTGCTTGACCTGCAGCAGCTCAAGTGCACCATGTCTGCCAGCCAAGCCCTTTGCTAGAGACCCATTCTCCTTTGATCACTTCTTCAAGGACTTGTATATATTTTTCTTAAATCTATTTATTTTTAAAGTAAAAAGAAGGAGAAGCACACACAAGATTCCAAAGCAGAATGGTACTAATATTTGTATTTGCAGCACATGCTTTAGAAACTCCTTGTGAGCAAGGATGGGATATAAATGATAAAAGTAAGTATGATACATATTTCAGTATTATTCAGTGATTTGAATTATTCAGCTCATTAGGCTAACTGCCACATGCAGTCACATGGTTGCCGCAACCAGGCCAGAACTAACTATTTTCCTTTCACTTTTGCATCCATTTATATCCAACCTTCTTGCATTCTACCTTCCTGTCTCCTCATAACCTTGTCATTTCTTGTCCTGTCTGATCATTGCACTTTCCTCCCCAAGATTTAAAAAGAAGGATTCATCACAGATTGCAGGACTATTTCTTCTGCCAGTTATGTGCTAGATTACAAGTTACTTCCCAGCCAGTAAAATAACAGCTTACCAATCAAAACCACCAGAATTCTAAGTACTGAGTCATGTTAAAAACAGTCAAGAAAGTATGCAACCGTATTGTAACACAGGATGGAAGGCACTGGGAAGTCCATTCCATTTAATCGGGAAGAGTTTTCATGAGTTTCCCCCACCTTCAATAAGTCACAGGGGGCTCTGATGGATGTTTTTTCCTGTGCCAGAACAATTCATATTTTTTGTACCCATTAAACTAATAGACACTTTTTTCCGGTCCCATGATTTACATGAATTTGATTGTGGTTTTTCTTTCTTTTTCTAATAATTTTGAGGTCTTTACATTTGTTCATTTGAGATCTAAATTTGTTGTTCTTTGTTTTAAGAGTCTGCCTGGCTGCTGTATTTCATAGAATCATAGAATCACAGAATAGTAGAGTTGGGGCCATGAAGACCATTGGGTCCAACCTCCTGCTGTTGTAGGACACCAAGGTACACCATCCCACTCAGATGGCTGTCCAGTTTCTCTTTGAATGTCTCTAGTGTGGGAGAGCAGCACCTCTCTAGGCAGCTGGTTCCACTGCCGTATTGCTCTGACAGTGAGGAAGCTTTTCCTGATGTCCAGTCTGAATCTGGGTTTTTGCAACTGGAATGGAATATTCTGTGTCCTACACTTTGGCATCAGCAAGAAGGGATCTTCATCTCCCTCTTTGTGACAACCTTTGAGGTACTTATAGAGGGATATCATGTCCCCCCTCAGTCTTCTCTTCTCAAGGCCGAGCATGCCCAGTTCTCTCAGTCTCTCCTCATAGGGCAGTGTTTCCAAACCCTGGATCATTTTTTTTTTTTTTGCACTCCTCTGGACCCTTTCTAATTTTTCTGCATCTTTCTTAAATTTTAGTGCCCAGAACTGGGCACAGTATTCCAGGTGAGGTCTGGCTAGTGAGGAGTATAGAGGAACTACTACTTCTTGTGATTTGGAATACTTCTGTTAATGCTTCCCAAAATAGCATTTGCCCTTTTTGCAGCTGAATCACATTGTTGGCTCTTATTTAGCCTGTTGTCCACAACAACTTCAAGGTCTTTTTTTTTGCAGTTCTGTGGAGCCATGTATCCCCCATCTTGTACTGAGGCATTGCACACCATTTTGGAGTATTTAAACCACTTTGTGTTTACAAGCACCGTTGTTCATTTCATTCCTGTTCCCGCCAACCTCATTTCAGCACCTGGTACTCTCAGTCTAGGACTCCAGCACCCTGAGATGCCACCACTGTAAAGGCCCAGGGCAAAATTCCATTGGGAATTTCATCTGTCTAAAGGTTTCTTACTTCCTTGAGGGACTCCACCATTTCTCCTCATGTTTCAATATTCTAGGTAATGAATTTAGGAATGGGTAACTACTAATATCATTCTCTCTCTCTCTCATTCTCTCTCTCTCTCTCTCTCTCTCTCTCTCTCTCTGTGTGTGTGTGTGAATACAACCAGCCAGTATTTCACCTGGGGGTCCTCCTGGGACCACCTTCCACAATTGTAATTGAGCTACTGTGTGGCAAAGCATCATTTTGCAGATCCTACTGGCATGTCACCAGGACAGCATAAGAATTGTTTTGCAGTTGTTTGGTCTGATACCAGTAGCATCCCAAGAGAGGAGAATTCCAGGTGACCCAATGACAGGAGCATTCGCTATTCCAATGGGAACGAGCCATGCAACTCCGCCAAGCCACTTGGCCCTTCTGTGCGGAGGCGAGCTGGATTGCGTGGGGCTGGAAAATGCAGAAGCAGTTTTTGTGCCCCTCTAGTCACTGTGAGCCATTTGCACAACAGGACAGCTTCTGTGGGTTATATGGGCCACGGGTAGTCAAGAAAAAATGGGGGCAGGCAAACTCTAGGCTCCCATTTCAGGTTCACCCACGTCCACTGAGCTATGCTGGACCGGGTGCTTCCCTCCTGGAGTTGCTGGCCATGGCGTCCGGCTGTGCAATTCTGGATGACTGGGAGGGAGAGAGCCCAAAGGTATAAGCCATGGCATGCAGCTGGGGAGCGTCTCTCCCTCGGAAACCCAGCATATCTAGTTCTGATACTACCATCAACAACCCAGGAATGAGGCATTCTTGGGCTTGCAGCTCCACCTGGCTGCGGTAGGAATGATCAGGGGGTGAGGAGTAAGCAGCACGTGCCGACACTCACTTCTGCTCGTTGTTGATTACGCACAATCCACAGATAACTGTGATGAGCAAATTGCCTCTACGAACGGGATCTTGGCCTCCACTCAGCACCTATAAAATAGGATAAGACAATCAAATGGTTATTCTAATTATGACTAGCATAGTAAAGCAGCACTTATATTAAATTAAAAGGGTTATCTACATGAGAAACACTAGGATTTTAGTAGCTCTTTCTGGTACAATATTCAGGAAGGGAAACCAATACAAATACGAAGTAATTGCATGAGGATTCATGGAATGGATGAAGATGCAACTGAAGCAAAAGAAATCCAGTTATCATAGAAATTGACCCAGAAGTAGATTCAGATGCAAATCATATTAGAAGGAGAAATGGGTAAGTGAACAAGCCAGGAAGGTTTAAGAGCAGGACGATGCCTGGGGAGTTATTTGCACCTCTGCCTATCTAGGGACCTCTTGAAGCAGAAGAGAAAGATGGGAGGGGAGCAGAACCAGAGCCCCGGGAGCCAAAACCAAACTCTGAGGGCTCTAATCTGCACTCTGGAATTCTGTAGAAGGTCATGGCTACGTTCCACCAACCACCAAAGAGAACTTCTCTTTGTGGTGCAGTTTCTTCCAAATCTAAAAGTCTTTAGTACTTCCCCAAAGCTTATTTGGTGGCGGAAAGAAGGTTAAGAGAAACTACCTGGGTATTTTTGGTATTCTGGAGGTCTGGCCCTCCTTTTTTTACTCTGGCGCTACTCAGTGCTGTATGCTGGAACATACCCTGAGAGCTTCTCCAAAATAGGATTTGGTCTTCTGGTTGAAGGAGTCCCTGCATCCTGGGAAAAGTGTGTGAATATGAGGCCCCATAATTGGCTGGCAAGAAGAATCCCTTGGATGGGTTACGTCTGAATACAAACACTAGGAGCATGATCTTCTGTTCTTGCCTGGTCAACACAGCAGTATATTCTACCGGCTCAGCCTCATGCGTAATGTCCAACCTTTGCCATTAGCCTGATCCTGGCTCCAGTTCTGTGTCAAACCCCTAATACCCCAAAACCCCTAATACCTGAGCTGATAGACTCAGAATTGGGAGGGCACAGTACACGTGCCTACAGACCAGGTTTGGCCCTGACACATCTTAAGACAGTGTACGTGTGCAGGTGTGTGCATTATGAAATATGAACACACCTTCTGGAGCGTTAGCAAACAGTTCATGGATTCTGGGAGACCAATAAAACTGCTCTGTGTGCGTGTGCACATGTAGTGGAAGTATGAATATGAAAAGAGTTTTAGTTAAATGAAAGGGGTGAATAATAATGTATCCTACTTACTGCATAAGGGATTTGATAGACCTCACAGGGATGGCTCCAGCTCAGTAGGCTGGAGGAGGAGGAGAAGAAAGGGGATTATGAGGTCTGCACAGCATCTTAGCTCTTACAACTTTCCCATGTACATCCATCCATTCATTCATGTTCTTTTGAGTGATGTTTTTTATTCTGTACGCTGGGTGGCGCTGCGTTCATGGAGCATGGGAGGATTAATTGTAACAGGCATTTCAGAACAGGTGCTACCATGACCCAGGATTCTGACAGTTACACCTAGAAGCATTCCTCTCGTATAAATGAATAAATTCATAATTATGGAAGTAAAAATAGATGGCCTGAACTGATTGGCTTGGATCTGGAGTACACCCACTGATTCAATGGGACTTAACATTAGCCATTTCTAATTCTTCTCGTATCTATTCCATCTGAATCCAACTAAATCTGAATCCAAGCCATAGAATTTCTAGTATTGTATGTTGTTGTTGTTGATGATGATGATGTGCTTTTGCTTTGTTACATTTTAAAGTAAGACACAATTTTCTCTTCTACCCACCCTTCAGCGTAGTTACCTTTTCTTCCCCATAATTCTACCCATCTGTCTTACACCAAAAAGAATGCTTAAACTAGGACCATTTTGATTACTATAATAAGTTAAGCAGCTGAAATGCACACATTGTAATAAAATAATGAAAATACATGATCATACAAGCATGAGATCAGTTCCTGAAAATTTTCTTAGCAAACTAACTGTGCAATCCTTTATGCATCTACCAAGATGTAAATCCCATTGACTTCCGCTGGACTTATTCCCAGTACATCTGTATAGGGACCACAGGACAAAGATAGCATTATTAATCCTGAATGAGAAAATACTTGCCAAATATTTGGAAGTATTTCCAGACCTTAGGGTAGGTTAGGAAAGGGTCCTGCATTTCAGCTGCCATATGAGGACACTTTCGGAATGCCTTAGGGCCTTGAGTCAAATGCATCCCACTGGGAATATCTGCCTACCCTGCTGAAATCTTGGATTTCTTCCAGACAGGCTGTGGCATCAGGACTTGCTTTTAGCTCACTTTCAGGTGGCCAGGGTGGAAATTGTGTTCACATTTATAGGGGTACTTATAGTTTCAGGTTCATTGGAGGATTGCAGAAAGGGATTGTTGCTGCTGCTGCTGTTGTTCTTACTTGGACCTCTCAAATCTCTTTGCCCAATTAGATGCCTCCACAGTAATGGGCTCCCTCTTAAACCAGCACCCTTTTACATTGGGTTTTCAGGCACAGGGACAGACCCTGGAGCAATCCAAATGCTCTCAAACATTTTCATACCTGAAATAAAAATAAAAATTGACATAATAAGGACATGAGAACATAAAAAGCCATGCTGGATCAGACCAAAGGTCCATCCAGTCAACACTTTCTTAGCATGGTGGCAAACCAGCTGCCCACAGGGTCCCTCCAGCAGGATGGGTGCCAGAGCTCCTCCTGCCCAAGCTCCTCAGCACCTGGTGCATGCAGGCACGCCACCTCAGGTCAAGGAGGGAGCATGTAGCCAGCAAGGCCAGTAGCCACTGATACCCTCCTCCCTCATGAATCCATCCAATCCCCCTTCAAAGCCATCCAAATTGGTGACCATCACCACTTCCCATGGCTGTGAATTCCATAGATTACTATCTGTTGTGTGAAGAGGTACTTCCTTACATCAGTCCTAAACCTCCCACCAATCAGCCTTATAGGATGACTCCAGCTTCGAATATTATGGGGGTGGGAGCAAAATGTCACCCTCTCTACTTTCTCCACACCATGCATGGTTCACACACCTCTCTCTTGTCTCCCCTCACCTGCCTTTTTCTAAGCAGAACAGCCCCAGTTGAAGCTGCTCCTCACAGGGGAGTTGCCTGCATGCCTTCATCATTTCCATTGCCCTTCTCTGCACTTTTTCTGGCTCAATAATGCCACCTTTCAGGTGAGGCAAGCAGAACTGTGCACCACTGGTTTGCAAAAGATTGCAACACTTTAATTTCCCATTCCTTTCCTAATTATGCATAATATGGAGTTTGTCCTTTTCGTAGCAGCTCTGCGCTGGGTCAACGTTTTCATTGAAATATCCACTAGAACCCTAAAATCCCTTTCCTGTTCATTCACTGCTACTTCAGATTCCATCAGCTTATATTTGAAGTTGGGATTTTTACTTTACTCTCGCTCCCGTTGACCCGCATTGACTATTTTGATGCCTGTTCTCCCAGCTTGGAGAGATCCCTTTGGAGCGCTACACAATCCCTTTTGGTTTTAACTGCCCTGAATAATTTGGGGTCATCCCATCAGCTCACTTGGCCATTTCACTGCTTACTCCAGATCATGTATGAATAGGGATTCCACTGGTTACATCCCTCCATTGGGAAGAACTGACCATTTGTTCCCAATTTCTGTCTTCTGTTCTTTAACCAGCTAGTGCTGGGATCCCCTTTTATTCCATGACTGCTAAATTTGCTTAGAGTACTTCATCTCCCTTCTCTGGCATGAGCTGCAAATAATCGTTTTGTTTTTCTTTAAAAATGACAGTCAGGGCCAGAATAGGCATTACTTTTAATGTGCTTAGCAATGATTTTTTTCATATTTATGCTAGAGTAGGAGTGGGTTGGGGCTGTTTTAGATAAACACCCTCACCTGGGGGACTAGAGAGGTTTTTCAAGACCTGGACTTTCTTCCCCACCCCACTCCAGTGCCTGTTGTATAATAAAAATGAAAAAAGATATAGTTTCTAGACAGGACTGTACAGTAAACCACTGGAATTTGCCACCCAATGGATTGTTTGGCTTAATCCCAGTTTAGGGATGCAAGTTGTCATGCCAAGCAGGTGGTGAAGTCTTAACCCTAAGTATAATGGCTCTCCCAAGCAGCCTCTAATAATACACTAGCCTAATAATTTTTTTCTCCCAAGATGCAGCTTCAGTTTACTTGCTGGATTCTTATTTGCCGTGTGGGTTCTTGTAAGCTCTCTTCTATGTTATGGCAACATCACAGATGCTTCTTCCAATACCACATGGGCAAGCCAATTGCATGATGTCCTTCCTGTCCAGGAAGGAAAGAAAGGAGTGTCGACTACCTTCAGTGGCATGTTGGCAAAGTTTTATCCATCTAGTGCTTTTCATGGCTTCCAGATCTCCCCCAATGGCAATTTAATGAGTACAAATCCACACAATCCATGGAAGCAAATCCATGCTAAGACAACTGTGAGAGTTTGCATCGAACCATTCAATTTGCTAAATGACTTGCACATTTTACATAAAAATCTCTGCTGAAAAAGAGTTATGAAGTCTGAAATGTTAGTGGACCCAGTAAACAAATTCCCAATGGCCCTTTTAGGAGTCCCCACACTTGAGTCTTGAGTCAGAACCCTCTTCCATGCCTTTCCCATCCAATCCTCTTTATCCCACAAATGGAAGGCCCATGGCCTGCCAGCAGAAGATCCCTGAGGAGTCCATAGCTTGCATTTCTGATTCACAAAACAACTTTATCCAATAAGTGATGTCCCTTTGCCCATTTTAGTAACAGCCGCTCTGACACGTCCACGTTATTTTTCAATATGTACTCCAGGTACGTTGCCAAGAAAATGCAAGAAAGAGTTGCTGGCAGTGAAACTGAGGAACAGGCCAAGCAAACAGGAGTTAGAAGACAGGAACATCTTCCCAAGTAGGACCGACGAAGAGAGACAAGAGATCCGGCAGCAAATTGAGATGAAACTATCCAAGTAAGTGACGTTTGGTGCAAGACTTGGGAGGACAAAATGGCCCTCCTTGCAGTGCACGTGCATTTTGCCCAGTTCCTTTTGTACAACAAACATTCTCAGCAGTCACGAATTTGGTCCCTGTTCCTTTGAGCTCAACTGTTGGGGTTTCAAGGGCGGAAGGAAACCCTTGTCAATCACTTTCAATGCACTGCTTCCAGATGCCCAAATGAGAGAGCTTTGGAAGTAGGAGGTTGTCCAAAGATCCCTTGTCCTAAATGTTTCCTTTTCTACAGCTGAAATAGAAATGGGGAGTTGCTTCTTGGTGGGGACTGAACTGTAGCAAAATCTAACATTTCAAATTTGAATTTGGATTCGAAATATGAGTGCCAGGTACATGCAAAGAACTCAAAGTCACACCATCTGTGCTGATCTACTTCACATGCACAAATTTGTGGGAGGGCAAGTTCTCGCCTTTGGGCTAGCAGAAGCGGAGAGAAGGGTGGAATTAAAATTCAGTGGGATGGCAGTTCAGGAGCAGGCGTTCTCCACAATAGCCCTGTGTTTATGGAATACAGGGCAACTTGGCTGGCACCAACACTGCCTTCTTTCAGCACCAGGCAAAGACATGTTTATTTTCCCGGCCATCTGAATGGTGCTTATGGTGTGGTCTGCTTCTCCAGTGTTCATTCTAGGCTCTGTGAAGGAGTCAGGGGCCAAGGCAGGACAGAGAGAATGTCTGTACTGCGACTATTTAGATGTTTTATGGTGTTCATTTTAATTTGAATTATTCGACTCGTGTGGTTTATATTGATTTAGGAAGGTTCTGTTATATTAATTATGGATTTCTGTATTTGTGTGGGTACGTTACTTCAAGGGTGCTTTTGCAGCAGCAAGTGGCAGAAGTATTGATGGTGATGATAGTGGTAAAATGACAGTCTCCTTGTTCTCAGGGTTGGGATATTTTATCAATTGTGGTCTGCCTCTGCATAGAATTAACTGTGAGTGGGATTGGAGGTCTCTGCAGAAAATTTAGTATTGGACAGTGTCCCCTACAGATATCAAATATTCTAATCATTTCTCCTAAACTGGGGCTGGTTCATGCATGCATCTACTCCAGTTAGTATCATCTCATTGATGTTGTGGATTATCTGAAACTGCCTCAAGTGAAAAGTATTTTGTTTGAGATTATGTCAAATGTCATAAACATCCATCTGCTATGTAAGGCATCACTTGTGTGACACACGTGTATCTTTGGTGTCACCCTAAGAACTTCGTGGGTACTCCTAAATTGCACTTATTCCAATAAACTGATCCCATATGGGAAGTACCTGAAGGCCATTCCCTCAAAGATGGTGTATGGACTTATTTTCCACTAGTTTCAAGCAATTTCTGAAAAGTGAAGTTGGGTAGATAGTTGGCTGCTCTTTGTGAAATTAAGCAAAGTAGCTCTTGCCGCAACATGTGAGTCAGAAACCCTGGTGGACACTGCCAAAGTCCCAGGAGCAAGGAGGGATCCAACTCTCACTAGAATGATTCTGACCTCCATGTCTAGCACAAATGCCTTGGATCCAGGCTGAAATGGATACTGGATCCATTTTTTGAAATATGGACTCAGAAGCATAACTGATTCTCTCCTCAGTGGCCAGTGACTTGGATTTCAGTCATTCCACACTGACAGGAAGTTGGTCTGTAATTATGAACAGCTTCCACAGTGTGAATCAATCGTATATTCCCATTAAACGGTTGGTAACCTGGTCCCAACAAAGCGGTGCATTATTCTAAGCTTGCCTTCTAGCCATCTGTAGTGCCGTCTGCTGACTATTCTAATTTTAACACAGTTCTCATTTCTTCAATGTGCTCATTTTGAATTAAAAATAAATAAACAGATTTGCCTAACATGGACAAATATGGAGTTAGAAGAAGTCGGTCCTAGATCAAATCAAGCCAAAGTTTTCCCTAGTAGAAAAAAAAATGACAAAACTTAAGCTGTCGTACTTTGAGTACATCATAAGAAAGAAAGACTCCCTGGGGAAGCCACCATGCAAGGGAAAATCAAAGGCAGAAGAAGGGAAGAAAGACTGGACAAGAGATGGATGGACTCCATAAAGGAAGCCACATACTGAAATTTAGAATCCCTGAGCAGGGCTGTCATGGACGGGGCATGGGAGGATTTTCCTTCATCGGGTTGCCATAAGTCAGAGATGACTTGGTGATGGGCGAGCTCACTCTCCAGATAAGTGTGCCATGTGTTTGCTTTCCATGAGTTCATTTGGGCTTGGTTGGATCTGACCAACCAAGATTATTTTAGAAACACAGAAACAGAGTGAATCAGAAGGGCTCTCCTGGGCCATCTAGTTTGACCCCTGGATCCAGCCAGCTTCACTCATGGCATGCCTACCATGTACATGTCCAGCCTATCCTTAAACACCCTCATCGTTGAGGCTTCAGCCACCTCCCATGGAAGCCCACTCCATACCCTAGGGGTCCTAACCATCAGGAAGTATTTCCTGACATCCACCCTAAATCTTGGTTCCCTGAGCTTTGCTCCATTGGAATACATCCTGCCCTCCACTGCAGGGAAAAAAAAGCCATGGCCCACATCTGCATGGCACCCCCTCACATTCCTGTATGTTGCTAACAGGTACCCTCCGAGTCTCCTCCTCTCCGGGCTGAAAAGACCCAGTTCCCTCAGTCTCTCCTCATATGGCTTACCCTCCAAACCAGCCACCATCCTAGTGGCCCTTCATTCTTCATTTCACTCATTTTTAACTCATCTCTGAGTTTGGAACATAGGAAGCTGTCTATGAGTCAATTTATTTTTGACACGGACCGGCAGCACTTCACCAGGGTTTTAGGCAGGATTCCTCCCCAGGGCTTCCTGGAGATGCTGGGGGCTGAACCTGGGGCCTTTGATGTGCAAAGCTTCTGTTCTGCCACTAAGCTACTGATATGACTTATGTTCTTCCTGCTTTCAGCCTTCCCTGCACTGCTTAAGGGCTAGCTGCTCCCCCACTGCCTGTAGAAGAGTTTGGGAAATAGAGATTCCAGTGCTTTCCAGCACCGTCCATTGAGCTGGGCAACAGGGGAGATACAGTTCCCATCCTTTGTCAGTGGCAGTGAGGGTGCATCTGGACTTTAAAGATAGCAGAATCCATTCTCACTGCCAGTCTATCTAACACTATAATCAGAATAAATTTGGGAAGGGCCAGCAGGAAGGGTTGTCTGGAAGGGACTACAAGCGGGTTTTCCAAAAGCCAATGCACATTAACCTACCCTTCATGAGCTCCAGAATTTGAATTGGTACATGTGTCTATTTCTTCTGTTTCAGCCTCTTTGATATTCTTGTCATTTTTACTTCTACTTTATGGAGCCATCTTAGGTTATTCTCCACCAACATTTTCGTGCACGTACACATTCTACTTTCCTTTCCAGTGAAGTTTACACATCAGTTGATGTGTGGCCATTGCCATGAATGCTTCTGCCCAAACTCAGCTAAATCAAGCCGCATTCACACTCTTGGCAAAAGTACAGAGGAAAGGTCCCACTTGGATGTACTGCTTCAGGCTGGAGGGAATCGTCTGCATGAGTTCCATCCAGAAATCCCTTTAAAGAGTTAATAGAATAAGAAGAAGAAATTACATTTTTTTTTCTTTTCCGGTTTGCACTTTTCCCTCTGCATCATCATGCCAGCTCTTCCAGGTTTCACTTGCCTGCTCTGGGGACTCTGTTTTACATTTAGAGAAGTTGTATAAATTGTTACATGAATGTAAGCCAACGATAAGGGACTCAGCTGTCTAACTCTCTTCATATTGGGCAAACAGAGGACTTGTAGAAGAGAAAAATTGTAAGTCAGATGGCTCATTAAAATGCAAAGCTAAATTTGGATAAATTTGCAAGCATTAATATTTTAGCTGAGCCTTGTTGGAGGGGTGCAGGAATCTGTGCGGAGGCCTCCCACACAACGCTTGGCTGCTAGAGCGCTGGGAGACTAATTGAGGAAGGAGGCTGGAAAATCAACCCCCTCTTCTTCCAGTTTATTAAATATTAAACATGTGAACACACTCTCAAAGAAATATTTGCTTATTTTCAGGGTCCTACTAAGTCTCTCTGTTGGGCCTTTTTTTGAGGAATGCTAATGAACACGTTAAGCAAATGAGCAAGCCAGACTCAGGTTTCTGGAATGCTGTGTTGGAAATCTCAACACAGGCAAGTGGTTGCAGCAATGAAAAAGAGGCGGAGAAGCAGTAACTGCTGGGGACGACGGGGAGGAGAAGGTTGCCTTGCTAGAAGAGAAAGTCCGCTGAGGGTGTCTTGCTCAAGGCCCTCCAAATGCTGGAGCCAGGACTGGAATTTAACTGGAACTTGCGATCACAAGATGAGGTCCAGCTAAAAGGCCGTGCAGTAGGGTCAGGCAAATGCATGGAGGAGGCAGCAGCTGCTAGTTCTGATGGCTTTGCTGCCTTCAAGATCAGAGGCTCAGTGTCTCTGAATCCTGGTTAATGGGGAATAACCTTGAGATAGTGGAGGAGCCCTGCTCGTGAGCTTCCCGGGCCATCAGGGGCTGGCTGGCTGGCTGGCTGGCTGGCCGCTGTGGGGACCCAGACAACAGGCCTTTGGCTTGATCCAGCATGACCCAACGCCTCCTTAAGTGAGACATGCAATGCCCACCCATTCATCCACGCTGCCATTGCACGACTGTCCATGCGATTCACGGAGATGCCCATCTGTCTGGTCTGGATGTGCATTTGGGGGTCAGTTCTGGAGGATCTCCCAGGGGCTGCATTCCAGGCGGGGGCAAGGCTGAAGGCAGTGAGGTGAGGCCATGGGCAAAAGGGGCACAGCGATCCCCCACTCCAGCATATTTTGGCATAAAGCCTTTACTGCCAGTAAATGAAGCCTTAGGGAAAACATTTCAGCCATTTTGAAAGGAGAAAAAGCTGCACAAAAGCCAAAAGAATTCACAGTTGTGGGGAAGGGTATAGCCCCACACAAGGGGAATGGCCATCTAGGGCACCCCATTG